TCATGTTTTTCTCAGGTTAGGATTGAAAGACCAGCAAGAGCGGGAAATTGTTCACGTTCTGATGGACTGCTGTCTGCAAGAGAAAATGTTCAATAGATTCTATGCGGTTCTGGCAGAGACATTTAGCTCGCATGACCGGCGGTTCCAGGTAGAGTGGAAGAGCAGTGATTCCTAGCTCTCACTGTGTTAGGAGTGTGCTTGTGTCACTGGTTTCACTGCATTAGGAGCTGCTGTCTTGTTTGTATGTCTAGCTTGTTTACACAAAACTGTTGCTCAAGCTAAGAACATTCAGATGATTTTCAGTAAATTACTGTTGATATTATGATTTAATATTACTCTGTCGTGTGCAATATGATATAAGATCAGCTGTAAGATTTTTAATATTCAAATCAATGAATACTGATAATATCAGTCCATTTTAATAGTCAGATATAAGATAAGCTATACGCTTTGTAATATTCAAATCAATTAATACTGATAATAGTCAGTCCGTTTACATCTAATTCCGCAGCATATTAAAATTAAATTATTAAATTTATGCATTTAGCTGACGCTTTTATCCAAAGTGACTTACAGTGCATTCAGGCTATACATTTTTTATCAGTATGTGATATATATAGCATATAATACCTAGTAGCTTGTAGCTGTTTACTATAAGTGAATTATAATTAAACATTCATCCATTTTGTAAAAGTAAACCCTCTCTGCTTTTCTTCTGTGCTTTAGATGACCTTTCAGTTTAGTCTGTGGGACAAGTTCAAAGACCTGGCAAACCTTTCCAGTAGGTCCTTCAGTAACCTGGTCCAGCTGGTCACTCATCTTTTACACAGGAAGTGTCTCTCTCTTTCCATTCTTAAGGTAATGTTTGGTGAAGTTCACCCCTCACCAAGAAGCCATTCTAGAATGCATGAGTGGTTTGTATGTAATGTTGTAGTATATATGTGTAATATTCTTCATCCTCTTTATGAATCACTTACAAATGACTGAAAGAATGCCAGCTTAATTTTCTGCCTGTTCTCGTCTTTTCATAAGGCTATTGAGTTTGGGGAGCTGGATAAACCCAAAGTCAAATTTCTGAAGCAGATTATCTCAAAACTCCTTAAAGAAACCGAGCCAGAAGATCTTGTGAATATATTTGGCAGGTGAATATTCTTTGTACTACAAAAATGAATATTAATCATGCATATTAATATTCATAATGAATTTATTGAAGGCATAAATCTATATTTTGTAATCATGTAAGGCAAAAGTGTGATCGCTATTTAGAAATTAGTGTTGTTTCAGAGGCAATGTTCACACTGGCAGTATAAAGTAAATGAAAAAAGAAAGAGAAATAGACTTAATTAGTTACAACATTTCTTACATTATCGCTTAAATATTTATTTGTCAGTGCAAGTTTTTAAAATGACAAGATTTGCGGGACATCCTGAGACCAGATGTGCTGACATCCATCTAAAATTGCTTGTGTGTGGTCTAGTGTGTCAATATCTGCCTTTGTGTCTACCATTGTGTGCCAGGATCTCTGGAATTCCCAAGCTGGGAATGCTTCGGGAAGGCTTGAAGCTTTTCATCAGTCACTTTCTGCTCCGGAACATCCAGACACAAGGAACTGAGCAAGCCAAGGTACTCAGGGATAGAGCTGAGGTTGCCACTAGAGCCATGGAGGCCCGGGATGCCAAAATTAAGCTATAGAGCTGTTGCACACAGAAATGTGTGCATAATGCATCAGACTCAAAAAATGAGTATTACTTCAGGGGGCAATATGCAACCCTGTATGCAGACCTTACGACACATGCAGATCACTGACACGTTACTGCATTTTTGTATTAATTCTGTACAAAAATAAAAGGTAAAATATGTAAAGTATATAAATACATTTTAGTGTGTTTTAAAGAATTACATACTACAAAAGCTCAATGGTCAGTTTTTTCTGCTCTATGTTTTTTATGGTAAGATGTCAACAGATCTTAGATTTGGAATTTGGATATTTGACATTTTGTACTTTTTATTGACCTTCTTATGGGAAAGAAAAATATAACCGTGTGTTATGCATAAATATTTGGTCTTATTATAATGTGTATTATAGTACACATTATACTTACTATAATAGAAAACCACAATGGCCTGCTTCGTAGTAATTCTTAGTGGGTTTTTTTTGTTTTTTTTAATCCAGAGACATGTCCCAAGCAGATAAAGAGAATAACATAATTCATTATTCTGCTGCTCATTAATTTCCAATGCACATATGTTCAGTATCTGTTCTGGAAACAAACAATACTGTATTAACTTCATTCAGAAAAGAGCACAAACATGCATTGCTTTATTCATCATGAAATGTAGGTTCATTGCAGTTGTCTGAAGCATCTGCACATGCAGCAGTACTCCGGACACGACTGACTAGCATAACATAGCAGAGGGCTACCGTTACATTTGATGCCCTTTGTTAATTCATTAGCAACATAGGCATTAATGACATCGATCCACAGCATGGAGTGATCAGAGCATGAGCTACCATCATATGGGGTCAGACAGCTTAAACATCACCCTCGCAGCTCTACAACAAAAGAGCTAACTGTTTCATTATATCTAATTAATTAAACCTTATCACATCCTGTGGTGGCAGCTCAAACAGGCTGTCACATTACAGCCTGTAATAAATACACAACAGTCTGGCTGTTTTTTTTCTAACAGTTTGAAAGCTGGAAAAATTAGGGTTACCTACAGATGGCCCACTTTTCCACCTTTTGACAAAGACAACATTGTCACAATATGTGAGGAGAAGCGTATAATGGGGGTCCAGCCCACTAAGATACACACAGGTGATTGTAAATAGTGTGTGCTATTGTCTGTCTGTGTGAGACCAGAGGAAGGTTGATACTGACCCTAGTTTGAACTGGAAATAGGAAACTAAGTTACCTTTGAACTGATAAGACCACAGTTAAAATACTGTTTGTGAGGATATTACATGTTTTGTGCAAAGGACTAAATATGAGAAATGTGACAGCGTTCATGTTTTAAAAATTCACCATTATTGGCTTGTTCTTTTATGTTTCACTTCAAACGTTTCATGTGCATAAGGTCATACGAAACACTTGCACTGGCCCCTACTGAGAAATCACATGGCGCATAATTCGAACATATCTATATTATGTGGTTTATTATGCATTTATTATATGTTTTGTCTCACCATTCACGGTCTCCCACCCTGCTCACTTGTGTGTGGTTTTCTTTCCTGATCGTTAGAGGGTGGTAGCACTGATAAAGATGGGTTCTTTGCACTTATGCCGCTGGGTAAACGTACAGGTAGAGTAAATGAGACCTTAGTTAAATCAGTAACTAATGTTTCCTAAATTGACTACCACCTGTTCAATGCCAGATTAATTGTGTATTTGATTAAATCATTGTTTACTGTTGTCCAAGAGTATTTTTGGATAATTTAAGCTTAGATGGTCTCATAACATTAATCGTAATTTGAATAATATTTTGTTAATTTGCCCCCTCTAGGAAATTCTGGTTTCTGGTAAAAATGCTGTCCTCTTGTTTGACTAACCCACTAGCATTTTAGAACCCAAGAGTAATGCGAGGTTAATTCATTAGCCTTGATTTTTAGTTTCTGCATGCATCGCTTAGTCGCATTGTAGGGCTGGTAAACTCTGTTTTAGAGTTATGAAAGGGGAGTTCATTGTAGAGAGTTAATTCAGCAAAATCCACAGCTTATTATGCTACATGTGTTTTGGACTAAATGATTATTTTCCACTGAGAATATGGCTTAAAGTGGCTTAGTAAATGAAAAACAAAGAACATTTCAGATCACATTCAGTGTCCGAGTAGATAGCTGTCATGGCCCTGGACTGATAGGAGTAGATAGTGATTATATTTAAATGTCCTCTAATTGATTCGAAGAAGCTCCTTGGCAAAGACCAGATGGATCTCTGGGTTTATTACCCAATAAAGCATGTCGTTATTAATAAAGGAGGAAATGCACTTATGCGAAATAGACCTCAATTAGATTGCAGAAAAGACCATTAAAATAGTCTTGCTGTAGAGTAATCTAGCATCCTTCTTTCTTTATCATTTTCTTTTCATGTCCTTCCTAAGTACACGTTCTATGTCTCTAGTTCAGCTAATACGGCAGGCTCATTTTCATCATTACTCTGTGAACATGACAGAAACAGACTTCTGGCTAGATATAACATGAAGTGTCTAAAAAAGTGCTAAAAGGTCAATCTAATTTCACTTCACTTAAAGTCTAACATAAATATAAAAGACATTTAAAATAGCCCCTGTGATGTGCTCTGGTGATGGATGGGCTTTGTCTCAAAGGTTCATTGTTGGCTGCCCATTGCTGCAGTGGTGAGAAATGTTTCGCCATATTCGAGTATGCTTACTCGCACATTTGCACGGATATGAGAGCTCTAAACAGCGATTCCCATGACCCGACCATGCCACTGACAACAGGCCGCTTCACATCCAGCCTGTTTCTTGTCGAGGGTTTTTCCTTCACGTTTGTCATGGAATATTCGAGTTCAACGTTGTTACAAATTGAAAAGACCCCACCGAAATAAAAAAAAATTAATTTTATTCACAGAGCGTAACTGATAAACCTAAACAATAATTTACATGCATTTTAAAAGCGATTTCGTTATAAATATCCTACATTGTATAAAAATAAACAGATCACATGGTTCTGGTTGATTTTTTTTCCCCATCCCACTTGAGTTTAGAAATTAACTCCAGTGGTTATCGAATAGGAACATCTCAGTGATTTATTACTGATAGTGATAGGCCTACTCATCTATTTTGCTTGATGTAATGCAATTTGACCACATGCTCTGCAACCATAACATCAGGCTTCACCTTACGGAGAAGTATCAGTGGTTTGTAAGTATACAAACAGCTCATGTGGGCGTCCTTCTCCGCATTTCCATAATGACTGCAAGATGACAACACATGCTAATCACATACTTCGCTTATGTAAGTGTCTTTTTGGAAACGAAGTCTCATGGTTGTGGACTGATATCACTGGCATTGGTTCGTTCATCATCGGAGGAACAATCAGATGAATTCAGCATGTAATTATCTCCTTCGTCGTCACTGTCCCTAAAGTCCCGTTTTCTGTTGCTTTTCACTGAATCTACCTTCTGGTAGTCCTTCTCCAGTCCGTCCATTTTGTCCTGGCTTCCTTTACCTTTTTGCTTCTCGGCCTCCTGAGCGGCTTGTTCTTTAGCCTTTTTACTGCGCTTCCATTTCATACGCCTGTTCTGAAACCAGATTTTTACCTGGAAATATAAACATGACATATGTCTCATTCATAAATAATTCAGAGCAATCGAATATTATTTGACCTTATTAACTGTAATATTTAAATTAATTGTATTATTATTATTAGCCTATTAGGTCTATTTATTAAAATAGGCCTATAGGCCTATTGATTTTCAACTAATTAATTTAGACATTTTTAAATGTAAAAAAGTCGCTGGTTTACCTGTGTCTCAGTTAACATTAATGATGTGGCCACTTCAAAGCGTTTTGGTCTCGATAGATATTTATTCAGCTTAAACTGGTGCTCAAGTTCAAGGAGCTGCTGGCTTGTGAACGCGGTTCTTGGTCTTCTGCACTTCCCGAGTAAGTTTGACTGCGCCTGGCCTGCAGAATTTAAAAACAGAGCGTGTATATTGTGTACGACACAGCAAAAATGTAATTAGTGTTTTATAAAACTACATTTTTTAACAACATTTTTATTATAAAAAATAAAGATTCCAGTTAGATTCCAAAATAAGCTAAATAAAGACTCCAGTGAGTACCAAAAATGTGTTTTTACATTTTGAAACCTTTGAAGTTCTACATAGATACAAATATTTTTTTTTTCTCCAATTCCTAAGAAAATTACAAACTTTTAATATGTGTGTGTGTGTGTGTGTGTGTGTGTGTGTAGTAGGCTAATGCAACATGAATCATTTTTTAAGCAGAAAAAAAAACTTAGGATAAGAATGTTATTTGATGAACATATAGTAGGCATACCGCAAGGTTAAAAGCTTATTTTTGAGAGTGGCAAGGACAGTGGAAATGTAGTTGCTGTTTTTCACATATTTTAATTTTAATAGCCTATAGGCCAGCCATGTTACAGAAGGCATTACAGCATTAATGCACAATATGCGCAATAGATTTTAACACACCGTGTAAATGGCACGGCAAGAAATGATAAAAGCGCTTATTCTTAAAACCCTCAAAAGCAATTCCCAATCACACATAGCCTCTATGTGCCACGGCATTGTCAGTACATCTGGTAACATTTCCACCCTATCTGATTTGTTTGGGAGAGGTTTGAGAAAATCTGCAGACGAGCAGCGGAACAGAGAGACAGTGTCCGCAGTGTACACAGTTGGCAAGCTGTGGTTTTCACACTCTTCCGCCACTTTCCCTCTGTCCATTATCTGTCCATTTTAGCCCCTCTCTGAAAGAGAGAGCTCGTTCTGTCTCAGTCAAAGAACAGCTTTACTGACCCTGCACGCGCTTGTTATATCTGGCTGCTGTGATCCGTAGCTCTGAACAAAATTGATTTGATTTTTTTTTTTTTAATTAATAAAACACGTGTTGAAAATAAACAGCGTTATTCTGCAATCTCAAAATAATTTATAAAATATGATTGAAGAATACAGAATAACCAGTAATATAAAAATAACACGTTTATTATAGCCTATATGTATAGCCTACATAATAACATGGCCACAAAAATTAGAATAAAAGTAATAATAATAATAATGTTAATGTATAATGCAATAATGCATTTCAGATGTAACTCACCATTGAAATCTGCCATTTTAGGCAGCATCATCCCCGCAGTTGAGACCCTCAGCCAGTGATCGAGCTGCAAGGAGCTGGCGGTGAGTTTGAGGGGGTCACTGGGATGATGATGATGGTGCGACCCGTGCGGATATGAGTACGACAGTGCCGGGTGCTGACCCAGCGCTGCTGCTGAATATGTGCACATTGGATGACCGTAGAGAGCCTGAGGAGGAATCCCGGTGCTGCTCTGAGGGTGTAGTCCTAACATGCCTGAATGTAGAGAGTTTAAGAAACCCGGTTTGGGAATCAACCCGCACGACGATATCCTGGGGGGCGACGGAGTCTCGGTTCGAAGTGCTTCGGAGTTCGAGTTCAACTCCGACGCCTGGACACTTTCGGAGGAGGATGATACGGAAGAGGTGGGCAGGGAGGTGACCAGCGCCAGCGGCGAGGTCTGCACTTTTGGCGGATCGACAGCCAGAAGCGCGTCGATGCGAAAGTTTTTAGATTTCTCCATCTGGCCTACCTCACAAACAGATTATCGCGTCGGTCGCAACTTTAAAATGCTGTCACTAGTGTCACCGTTGCTCTCCTTAAAATTATGATCTTGGCCAAGGTGTGCAAGCCAGAAGTCCACTTGTCAACTGCTGCCCGAGAGGGTGTGGATTGGTCATTCACGTCATCCTTGTGGATGTCCGATTGGATTTCAGTGCTCACTGTGCTTTTAGTACAAGTTCTATAGCCTAGTCCTCACAAATATTTGTATCGTTCGTGGGAGGTGTTGGAGAAACAGAAAAAAAAAATGTTACAACAGCTAACACACAACACACACACTTTACTGATAGCCTTACTTAAGTACAGATTTGAAGATTTTTTTAATAGATATTCTGCATTAGTGTATGAAGAAAGTGTCCTCACTAGCCAAGTGCAACGATTAAAATACTATGAAATTAGAACAGACTGAAAAATTGCATCGCTTAAAAAGAGGAATGCAGTGTTTCAGTCTGTTCTATAATAAGACGAGTTATCATCATGATTTCATTTTTCGAGCGTTTTCGACATGTTGATGCAAAAAATAGGACTGATTGAACGAAGATTAACTGATTGTCTAAAACCGGTAAGTGTTAGCCAAACTACACCATATGTTTATACAGTAGGCCTATAGGCTATGTCTATTTGTTTGAAAAAGAAAAAGCCAACCATCCCTCTACTGGCAACGCAAATACTATGGCATTTTTTTATTTGATGATTATATACGAATTATCTAAGTGGCATATACGCATTTGAGATTAAAAATATACTTTGAATTCTGAATATTTAAGAGGACAAATTCGTGGAAAGACTGTTCTCACTCGGACACCAGGGGAAACCTTAATTGCTCCACTTTTTTGTATTGCAGTGAATAGTTTTGCAGTTTTGGTAAGTGTTTCAGCAAAAATGTAAGGAGTAAAATAATGATGAAACATAAAACAATTAATGAAAATATGTACAAAATTATCAAACAAGTGTTCTGAGCAACAAATAGGCCTACCGTAGGCTATTTAAATAAATAAATTGTATACATTTCCAATAGCCTATGTAAAACACATGTAACAACTTGCTCCCCTCCACCCCTAAAAATGCACCGACCTAACATTTATGAAAAATATCCTTATATACCCCTGCCTGAATATTTATTGTACAATTTGTTTAGCTAACAAATGATGATATCGGAATTTTACTCTGGAGGATAAAATTCACAAACGTATTTTCATTTGAGAGGATTATTTTAAGGCGTTTGAAACGCATACAAAACTACTGCTAGAGAAAACATTTGGACTTTTTGAGATTTTTGACTTTATGAGAAATAGGCTAGACCTTTTCCGTGTGACAGCGCCGGTCTTTATCCTATTATAAACCCAGAGAAAAGAATATTACGCGATTAACAGTTAAATTAGTCTGTGGGATTTTACTACTCTAGATGTTGACATATTTTAGCAACTTTGCATCTGTAAAATTATTATATATTAAGGTATATTAAAAATAATATAAAATAAAATAATGGGCTATAAAATAAATGCTATGGTATGGATATTACAAACACCAAGTGTGAAACGGGATTATAAAATATATCTGTCGCCTTTATCAAAGCAGCTACAAATTTATGATTATAACATAGTCCATTAGAACGAACATGTAGTATTTATTCGGCATAATCATGGGCAAAAAATAAGACCTTTGTTATTTTGAGTAAATGTAAAGGGAAAAATATACTGACATGTTTTCAAGTGTCTTCGGTAAACGTTGGATCTCGCGCTCTTTAAATAGAAATGATTCGTTTCTTCAAGCAGCTGGGCACATGGAGGGATGGGGATGTGGAGGATCTGTGTCTAAGGGGTCTGGTCCTCTTATAAGCCTCTTTAAGCTAATGGAGGAAGAGGTCAGGGAGAGAATTATTGACACGCTGTTGCCCTTAACCTGTCTACCAATAAAGCGGATTAGTTTTCCTCAATTCATCAGCTAACCACTCTCCAGAGACTGGTCGCATGCATGCGTTTATTTGCTCTGGGGAAATCAACAAGTCACGGGCCGAAAGAAGAAGAATAACAGGGTGCTGTAATGATACAGTGACCAATTCTGTAATAGAAATCACTAAGCCGCACGCGTAATAACATTACAATTATCACTGCACAGTAGGCTATATACTGTAAAGTGTGACCCAGATGTAGGCTATCTGGACGACACTGGAATACGAAAATGTTTTATGTGATTTACAGCGCAACAATAAACTTATAAATAAGCGTTATGTTTAGATCTATCGGGAATTCTTCTAGTTTGAAGTCTGCAACATTCATCCCAAATGCTCTTGTGTCTCTAAACACATGGGCAGCTTTGTCCGCGTCCCAGTTTTAATTTCATTAAGGGATCGCATGCATATTTCTATTAAAGCAGCAGTGAAATATGCAGCCGTGGACCTGCATCAGAAAGATTTATGGCTCTTTTTCATCACATCAGGAGAGAGTAAAATTATTATTGCACCCTGAGATAGAAGGGCCTGAAACCAGGGACTCTCCTCAAAGCTGTTCATTCGCTCGGTAATTACTTTCACAATTAAGTGGAACACATATCATCACAATGACAAATCGAAATAGTTTATATATTAATTATTCATGGTAAATGTGTTCATTATGAAAAGCCAATTTAACGGGACCTCCACTGTCTCTTTTATTGCAATAAATATTTTCGATCATAATGGCACAAGTGTGTTGAAATGTATATTGCACTGCTTTTAAACACATTTGGGACTCATTTATCCATTTAATTTGTGGAGAACGGTTACGTACAATGAATATAGTCCCATAGTAGCCTATCAAAAGTCAATAGGAATCCGATTTCAGTGCTTAGCTGCATGATTTCTTCCCCCAAGGATTCTGAACATGAAGATCATTTCTTTTAAACGTGCTGCATATTTGACCAATTCCTTCTTGGCTATAAGCGTTTTTCATCTGTTTGCTTTGATAAGCCTTATTGTCTCTTAAGTGATTCACTGGCCCAAACAAACCGAACTAGCCTGAAAGCCAGGTGTCACTTAACCGAGCACACTAGACTACACTAATGTGATGAATACACACAACTCGGTCAGTGGTGTAATTTAAAATGTGCTTTAAACGAGATGACCCACAAGTCCCCTCTCTCCGTGACACGAGCCCGTGATTGACGATGTCACCAGATGTCAGGCTAATTTAAATGAATTAATTTCACACCTGTCATACGCAAAAACCGAGCTGTTTATTGAAATGAGTGCCCCACGAGAGACATTTTAAAAGCAACATCTCTTTTCTAACAAATGTATTCATTAAATCAACAACAACCCTTATGATTTAAGATTTACAAGCAGGTACACAATGTAAAGACTTGCACCCCAATGCAAACAAGTTGCAATGTAAAACTGTAAAAATATTTATTTGTCCCTAAGCTACAACGATTTGAATCTGCACATTTAACATGATTTAAAACAATAATAAAGAACGCTACAGTGTTGCATTATAATATTCCTAATTAATGTAATAAAATGTTTTTACTTAACTTCATTCAGTCTAAACTTGACTTGAATGCAGACAGCTGCCATCATGACTTTTTAAAACATTTTCAAATTTAAGGCAAAATTGACACATGACAATTGGCTGTATTGTATTTCAGAAAAGTACATTTGGCCACATACTAATTAGAGGATGTCAGTTTTCCTTATTCCCATTTTCTTCCTCTCCTTTTCATTACTTTTTCAGAAAAAGGGAAGTGGAGGTGCATATCAATTTATCAACCAACATTAAACAGCTTTTAGTCACTGAAAACAGTTGCCTATTTCTTATTAATGTTTCTCAAGCTAAGCTTTTACATTTTACTCACTGGCAGATGAATGATCATAGATCAAAATGTAAGATTTGTTTTTGTATCTAAGGAGTCTTATGATTTAAACAATGGCTGTAACCTGACTGCAAATGAAAAGCACATAGCCCAGCACCAAATAGACTCAAATGCATAAGATTTAAAGATTAAGAATATAATGTTTGAATTGGTTTGTGAAATTCAAGTGCACATTGGAGCAAGATAAAAGAAAATTACTCTGCGAACAAGTGATCACTGTTTGTTACTAAATGATTTATAACCCACATTTGTTTTGAATATTTTAATGCCTGTTCCGGGTTTAAAAGTATATAACTTATACATGTAACTTGAATTATGAATTATGTAAGCATAATTTTTGGAGACAAACATATGGCTGCATGATTCTGTATTCATTATACAATAATTTGTTAAATAGCCTACTCAACAATTGTTCCTTAACAAATTTTGGCTATATATATGCAAAAACTCTTATAAATCTTTACTGACATGGTTAACATCCATGGAACTGTACTTGCAAAATATAAACTGTAAAATATTCTTCACACTATGTATATGTGTGTGTGTATATACACATACAGTGTTTCCCCTAGGTTTACGCTTTTTGGATTAATTTTATTAATCAAAAAGCATGTCTAATGAATTAAAATCATGACACTTAAACAATTTAACATCAGTTTATTAAAAGTTTAACAAATATTACATGTTTAGGGCCCTAACTATGAAATGTTTTATTTTTTCCAACCTTATGTTTTATTGTTACCAAATTTATTAATCAAAAAGCATGTCTAATTAATTAAAATCATGACACTTAAACAATTTAACATCAGTTTATTAAAAGTTGAACAAATATTACATGTTTAGGGCCCTAACTATGAAATGTTTTATTTATTTATGGTTGTCCTTAAAAATAAGGTTTTAATCATTTTAGTAGTAGCAGCAGCAGCCTGTTATGTACATTATACTGAACAATAGTAATATACCGGTATTTCTGCCAATGCCTTCAAGTTAAACCGAACTTTTATTTTGACGGGTTGCCGTGAATACCTTTACATTTCTGTGTGTATATGATATGAGGATAGTTTTACTCAAAGGAAACAGTCAAATGTTCATGAAGTGACTCTCAGAGAAGTT